GATATAGGTACATTATAATTTATTTATCACCTTCTATGTATATATGCTTTATATATGTTTGAGACAATTTAGTTTGGTTTCAAGTCTAAATCTGTTAAAAGTGGAATTGTAGAGCTAAAGGGAAAGAGAAGGGGGCACTTGCTCTCTTATCAATTTTTCATATTTAGCACAGTAGCAAGCCATTTTAAGGATAAAATATGGATTGACAGACTGATAATAATTATGACCGACATTATATTTATCCCAGTTAAGTTGTTTGTGTCTGTATTAATTTCTTCTATTTGCATCCTTTCCAAAGTATTAGTGAACAGGGTCCTAATTCCCTACATTGAGATTTTCCTATTTTTAAAATGGGAAATGCTTTAATATTATCCTTTCTCCCTTTTTAAATGTATTTTAAGTTTATGTTAACTAATAATGAATTCACTCATTCATTTATTTAATAACCTTGTTTACCATTTGAATGTTCCCAAGTGTCTTACCAGTTCTGAAGTTGGTCCTCAGAAGACTGGGTTGAGCAGATCTAGTGAGAATGTTTGACCAGCAGGTGGCATAGGCCCAGCACCAAGGCAGCTCAGACTCAGCACACTGAACCACACCAGATTCTGCTCCAGAGCTTGCTTAAGCTGGCTGAAATGGACCTGGGAGTGCAGCCGCATGCTTCATTAGATTCTGCTCCAGGACTTGCCAGCTCTGAGAAGAATTCACTTGGGAGAATAGAAGCACACTGAATTTTGCTCCCCCCACACACTGCTCTGGATTCTGCTCCCCACACAATGCACCAGTGAGAGGAATCAGCCTGCGAGGGTAACAGTGGACCAGGAGTCTGTGCCTGGGAAGGCATGTCAGAATCGAGATGAGGAAAGGGTGAGGTGTGTGCCTGGAACTCTCTGCTGTTGCTGCAAAATTGCACATCTTTCCATAGCTGAACAAGGCCGCACATTGGGCACCAGATGAAAATGATTCTTTTTTTGCTTGTTTGTTTTGTTTCTTTATTCTTTTCTTTTTTATTATTTATTTTTAAGTTTAAATTTAGATTAGAAACAAGGTTGCTTCCAAAGCTAGTTCCAGGTCCCTCTCCCTTTCCCTCCCCTCCTCCTGTACCCTCCTCCCAACCTCCCCCCCAATATCCCCTCATTTCCCCAGGGAGGGTGAGGCCCTCCATGGGGGTGTCCATAGTCTGTCATTTCATCCAGGGCAGGGCCTAGACCCTCCCCCAAGAGTTCAGGGTGAGAATGCATCTCACAATGTTGGATGGGAGTCCAAAGTCCATGTGTATACTCGGGATGAGTACTGATCTACTGCCCACGGCTCAATATATTACCTAGGCCTCCTCACTGACACTCACATTCAGGGGGTCTTGATCAGTCCCATGCTGGATTCCCAGGCTGATGCCTGGGATTCAAAAGTTAACCTTTGTCAGGTCAGCTGTTTGTGGGGGTTAAACCAGCCCAGTCTTAATCCCTTTTGTCATCAGTCCTCCCTCTCTGTTACTGGTTTTCTTGAGTTCAGCTCAGTGCTTAGCCATGGGAGTCTGCCTCTTCTTCCATCAGTCACTGAATGAAGTTTCTGTTTCCCAGACTCTCTGGCCATGGGATTGTAGGCTGGCACTCCCCAGATCTATGTCTAAAATCCATATATGAGAGTGCATGCCATGTTTCTCTTTTTGTGACTGTGTTACCTCACTCAGGATGGTTTCTTCTAGTGTCATCCATTTGCCTGCAAATCTCAGGATTCCATTTTTTTTCTGCTGAATAGTACTCCATTGTGTAAATATAGCACATTTTCTCTATCCACTCTTCAGTTGAGGGGCATCTAGGTTGCTTCCAAGTTCTGGCTATTACAACTAATGCTGCTATGAACATAGTGGAACAGACATCCTTGTTGTATGAATGGGCATCTTTTGGATATATGCCTAAGAGTGGGGTTGCTGGGTCTTGTGGTAGATTTACTCCCATTTTTCTGAGGAATCTCCATACTGTTTTCCAAAGTGGCTGAACAAGTTGGAACTCCCACCAGCAATGGAGGACTGTTCTTCTTTCACCACATCCTCTCCAGCATAAATTGTCATTGGTGTTTTTGATTTTAGCCATTCTGACAGGAGTGAGATGGTACCTCAGAGTTGTTTTGATTCGCATTTCCCGCATGGCTAAGGATGTTGAGCACTTTCTCAAGTGCCTCTCAGCCATTTTAGACTCCTCTATTGAAAATTCTCTATTTACTTCTGCAGCCCACTTTTTAATTGGATCCTTTGGTGTTTTGGAGACTTGCTTCTTGAGTTCTTTGTAAATTTTGTAGATCAACCCTCTGTCAGATGTGGGATTAGTGAATATTTTTTTTCCATTCTGTGGGCTGCCTTTTTGTCTTGCTGACTGTGTCTTTTGCCTTACAGAAGATTCTCAGTTTCAGGAGGTCCCATTTATTAATTGTTGATCTCACTGTCTGTGCTAATGGTGTTATGTTCAGGAAGCTGTCTCCTGTACCAATTCGTTCAAGGGTACCACCCACTTTCTCTTCTAAGAGGTTCAGTGTGGCTGGATTTATGTTGAGGTATTTGATCCATTTGTGCATGGCGATAAACATGGATTGATCTGCATTCTTCTACATGCCAGCCTCCAGTTATGCCAGCACCATTTGTTGAAGATGCTTTCTTTATTCCATTGTATATTTTTAGCTTCTTTGTCAAAGATCAGATGTTCATACATGTGTGGGTTAATATCAGGGTTTTCAATTCGATTTCATTGGTCTACCTGTCTATTTTTGGCATCAGGCAGACAGGCATGGTACTAGAAGGGTAGCTGAGCTCTTAAGACAACAACAACAAGGCAGAGAGACAGCTAACTCAGGATTGCATGGTATGAGCTTTTAAGACCTCCAAATCCTGTGACACTCTTCCTCCAACGAGGCCACACTTCCTCATCCCTCCCATACAGCTCCACTAGGTGGGTCCCAAGCTAACTTATAAGCCTATGGAGACTATTCCCATTGAAAGAGTCACAAAATATATGCATTAGATTTATTGAAATGAAACCTATGTAGGCCAGAGTTAGACAATTTTCACAAAATCAAACAACTCAGAATTTTTTAATAACACTTATATCTGGATACCAGTTGAAAAAATGTTTAATTTACATTGTATAGCACTGTCCCTTCCACCTTTCTTCAAATATTATATCATATCACAAAACTTGTCACACTATGCGGTTTCTATTACCTCCTTGGTATTCATTTTATTTCAAAGAACTTTGCTCGCTAAGATAATACTGTTAATATTTTCTTAGAGCACTTGCTGGCCCTCTCATATATTGGGAATTACTGTTTCTGAACTTTTGGGGAATGCTTTCTTTATGAAGTCACTAGCCTGTGTAAATTAATAGAATCCATTGACTTTGCTGCTAATTTTGCCGTGGTAAGCATGCACGGTAGGCCCAGCCTCTCAAGGTACCACAAGCCCCAAGAGCAGACCGCGGGACACAACAGTTTTAGAGGAGACAGAAACCTGAGAGAACACAGTCCTTTAATGTCACCCACCTAACAGACAAGGTGTGAACTAATTTTACTTTGATATTTTTCATGAATATGGCCTAGGAATTTTCATTGCCAAAGCAAAACCTCCAAACAATTTTGAATAAAAACATGATGTGTCTGTTGTGTCTGGGGATCAGTGCAGATAACCGCAGAGCCTCTAGGTATCAGTTCTCCAGCTAATGTTTCAGAAACTTGTCAGACTACAAATGATGGTGTTAGGAAAAGATCTTTGATCCTCTACAAAAATTGTACTCTCTTTTCTTCTGATCATCTCTCCAACAGAAATTTGAAATTTTAATAATCCATTTTTCATCAAATGTTTATACTGAATACAACTCTAATAGCACGTGCATATAGTAACACCTATGATAGGGAATGTTCTTCTGTATATATGTTTCTCTTATTGATTGATGAATAAAACACTGTCTGGACAGGAAGATAGGCAGGACTGAGACAAGGAGAATTCTGGGAAAGACAGGCAGGGAGAGCCCACCAAAGAAAGTAACCATGTAGACCACAAAGGAGTAGAAGGTATAGGCATTCTCTGGTAAGCCAAGACCACATGGAAATGTATAGATGAATATAAATGTGTTAATTATAAGACAGAGTTAGTCAATAAGAAGTCTTAGCTATTTGACCAATAGTTTATAATTAATATAAGTTTCTGTGTGTTTGTTTGAGGCTGAGAAGGGTGGCAGGACCTGGTGGGACAAGAAATCTTCAGCAGCACACCTATATTATTATTATCTTTTAAGTTAATAATAGCACATTTTCACTTCATAAAGTATTGATCCTTGAAGATTTAGCTGAAGTATTAGTGCATCCTCCCCTTCCCCTGGCCAGTCCATTGCTATTCCCACTTTTCTTTCATGATACAGACACTCCTCATTCTGATTCTTCAGGCTATTAACTGAGATGGGTCTCTGTTTTTAAATTGTTGATCAACTGTCACATTTCATCTGTCATAACAACTCTAACCCTATAGTTCCATGTATTCTCCCTGACACATGTTCATAGAGATTTAAAATGAACCACAGAGTCTCCTGTTGAAACTTGACTGCTCCTTGGAAACTCTGTGACCCATAGAGTGAACTAAAATCTCTCTGCTCTAGTCATAATATTCCAAAAATCATTTTCCTTTAGTGTGTGTTCTTCACCTGGCCTAAGCCATGTAAGTCTTCATCTAGTCTTAATTTAGCTTCAGGCTGGCACTCAGATGTTGTGCCTACTACCATTACACCATTATTTGAAAATATTACATTTTTCCCGTTTTTAAAAAGCACAAAGTAGAAAGGGTAAACAACTGGATCCAGTTCTTTATAAGTACATCTCTAAACTACAGAACAATATTCTACGGGCACTGTATCAGATAGACATATCTTGATCCGTGTGTTTTTGTAACTTTGGAAGTTAATATTTGATTTGTGTTATAGCTAAATTGTAACTCAACTGAGTAAACACTCAATCTCTGCAGAGCAGGTTGGAAGGACACATCATGGCATCTGAGAAGTGGGTCATGACAGTTTTTGTGGTGCAGCTTTCTTGTGCTGCCTATGGATTTTGTGGCAAGGTTCTGGTGTGGCCCTCTGATATGAGTCACTGGCTGAACCAAAAGGCTATTCTTGACGAGCTTGTGGATAGAGGACATGAGGTGACAGTCCTGAAATATTCTACTCTCATGATGGATCAGAATAGACAATCTGCACTGCACTTTGAGAACATTCCTCAGTCAAATGGGGAAAAAATGGCCGAGAATCAGCTGAATGAGATAGTGAACCTAGCTGTGAATGTCATTCCAAAGTTGCCATTGTGGCAAGGAGCAGCAAAATTGCGAGAATTCTTTTTGCAACTCACTTCTGTGTTTGAAGATGTCTGTAGGAGTGCATTGTACAACCAGACATTCATGAACAAGCTCCGGGATAGAAAATATGATGTACTGATTACAGATCCTGTCATTCCCTGTGGAGAGCTGATGGCTGAGGTGCTTCAGGTTCCTTTTGTGAACACCCTGAGGTTCAGCATGGGCTACATCATGGAGAAACACTGTGGCCAGCTTCCAGTTCCCCTCTCCCATGTGCCAGTTATCATGGCTGAATTAACCGATAATATGACCTTCACAGAAAGGGTGAAAAATATGATGCTGTCATTGTTTTTTGAATTTGTGCTTCAGCAATATGACTTTGCATTCTGGGATAAGTTTTACAGTGAAACCCTAGGTAAGAAACTACATTTCATGCTAAGCTAATTGATAGACAGTATTTTAAAACTGAATTAATGTTTAAAAACAATAAAAGGAATGCATGCTATAAGCTTTGATTTCCATGCAAAACTACAAGTGAAAGTAAAAGAATGTTTATTGATAACTGTTTGGGGAAGCACTATGAAGTTATTTTGCCATGATTTCCATGTTTTTATAAACATTAACTTGTTTAGTAATACTTTGAAATTTAGTAAATCACCATAAATATGAATTGAAGGCACAAATAAATATCAATCGAAGAGAACATTATTTTATTTGTCATATACAGAAAGATAATTATTTCCAGTACATTGTATCTTTTCAAGAATGGCAGGTCTCTTGTAAGGAAACAATATACAGTTGTAAAAATAATAAATCTTTGTGGCAGTAACAAGAAGAAATATAACTAATTTTAGGATGATAATAATTCAGTATGTGATTCATTGCCTATGAATTTCATTCCACAAATACTTACAACAGCAAATTATTGCTCTAATATCTATACTATTCTCCTGTCAATTGAGGAGCCTGATATAATTATACATGCTGCAAATGAGGGCAGAATCATGGAAGATGTGATTACAGCAGCCCTAGAAATCTAGCAAAACCCAAAATTAAACTATTACATATTTTTTATTTATTTTCAAGTTTCAATTTAGATTAGAAACAAGGTTGCTTCACAAGTCAGTTCCAGGTCCCTCTACGTTTCCCTCCCCTCTTCCCGTACCCTCCTCCCAACCTCCCCCCCCAATATCACCTCATTTCCCCAGGGAGGGTGAGGCCCTCCATGGGGGTGTCCATAGCCTGTCACCCTCCCCCAAGAGTGCAGGGTGAGAGTGCATCTCACATTGTTAGATGGGAGTCCAAAATCCATGTGTATACTCGGGATAAATACTGATCTACTGCCCAATATTTTTTATGGCAGCATAATTTTTCATTTGGTATTTCATATATCATCCAGTCCTGCCAAGAAAAAAATTAGTGGAAACTGATAGACTTACTCTCAGAATGAATATCAGGTTGCAAGACAAAGTCAATCATTCATTAGAAAACAGAATGAAATAAAAATAAATTAAATGTTCTTGGTGAGGTGAAAACTTTTACTCTGCTTTAATGTCTGAAGAAATCAAATCTTTTAGAAATTAATACTCTTTCTAGGTTTCTGTATTTCACAGTCTGGAATATAAACCATTTTAGCAAAATTTTCACCATGACAATGTATTAAGAGGCTGCACCCAGTGACTATGCCAAAGCCTTACTCTTCTTTAAATGGTTATATATAGGTAGAGTTTTCCCATTCTGTCTCCCTGTTCGTTGATCCAGAAGCTGCTTTGAAATTACTACATTGAGACTTTGTATTATTTTTAAATGCTCAGCTGATAACGCAGGGTTATTACTAACTAGTTCTTATATTTAAATTAAGCCATTTCTATTAATCTATGTTTTGCCACGTGACTCTGGCTTTACTTATCCTCTAGCAAGTCTTGTTCCCCTGGTGTCTGGCTGACTCTACCCCACTTCACCCCAATATTCTCTCTGTGTCTGGCTGTCTCTCCTATACATCCTGTATGGCTACTGGTCTGTCAACTTTTCATTAACTAATAAGAAGAATAATATATATTCACAGATTTTAATCCCATAGCATTATCCCTTTTTCTCTAACTGAAAATGAAGGGTTTTTTAAATAGTAAAACTATATATTACAGAAGAGCTGTTAATCAGGAATTATAATTACAATATCCAGTCCATTTTTATTTGATAAAATTGGAGAAAATATTTTACTATTTATCTTATCTTTGTGATTCCAAAGTTTTGCACCAAATGTATCTTTTATCATGACTAAGGATAGCTGTAACTATCTAGCCTCAGCTCCATCAAAAACCCAGAAGGATGAAATTACCTAATAACAGGGACATCTCACTGTCTGGACAGTCACCCAAAGATCTTCCAGAACATTAACATATCCATCTTGGGCACATTGGCCTAGAATATCTGGCACAATTTTCTCAGAAGCATGGAATTTTGGAGTACTGTCCTACCTTGTTGTGGAAAAGATGGGTAGGTGCTTTCTGATCATCAGCTTGAAGTTTGAACCTCAATATCTGTCTCTGAGTCTTTTATTTGTCATGCTTCATGGATACCTACACTTGTATGTCTCATCCCAAAGTAAAGACTGTACTGAGTGTGACTTCATCAATATTTCTTACTGGAAAAATATTGACAAATCAATATAAGGGATGGGTTTTAACTCAGGAAAAAACCCTGGACTAAGTTTTGTAGGATCCTACAACATTGTACATAGAGCAGAGTACAACAAAGAATAAAACAATTGTAATCTTGGGTGGAATCCTGAAACCAATGAGAGGTGATAAAGGACTTTAAATGGAGGTAACCTATCTTCAGTCATGTAATTGTAGAGAAAAAATAATTGTGAAGTTTATCATTCATTATAACTCTGTTTATATCATATTGGTTATTGTTATGAAATTATGGTTACTATTTTTAATACCCCCAATCCTTGCTTCTTTTTTCTTTCCTCCTTTTCTTTAAACATATATTCATGGTGAGCATACTAGAGGATTAAAATTTTCTTAATAACTTATGTAGAAATGTGAAACATTTGTAAACTGTATATTTTTCTGTGTATTAGTGTTTTCAGGAGGTATGCCTGTGTACCACATGTGTGTCTCATGCCATAAGACATTAGAAACCATAAGATGGCATCATATCACTTACAACTATAGTTACAGATGGTTATAAACTGCCATGTGTGCAAGAACAGAAAGAGCTGTTGACCACTGAGCTAACTCACCAGCCTCCTTCTGGTGAATTTTTTTCTCAGCAAATATGACAGCTAATTTTGTCCACTCAACTTTCTGTTTGTTTTCAAGGAAGACCCACCACATTCTGTGAGATCATCGGGAAAGCTGAAATTTGGCTAATCAGGACATATTGGGATTTTGAATTCCCTCGTCCATATTTACCAAATTTTGAGTTTGTGGGAGGACTGCACTGTAAACCTGCCAAGCCATTACCCAAGGTAAGTCTGTGAAGGAGAATATATTAGATATTTAATGATACAATATCTGATTTTCATCAAGGCTAATAACTTTACTAACAGAGATGTTAGTATTTAGTAGCTTCACTGTACCAGGGGGCTTTACTTTACTCATCATAGTTACTCTTTGATGAAACTTGTTGGATCTTTTGAACCTTACTAAAGAATTTAGGATTAAGAATAAAATTAGAATGATGTATAAAGAGTATGTGTGTCTATACTGTGGATACTCTAGTGAGTTATGGAAAGGAGTCATGAAGGTCACTAAGGAGATTTCCTGCAGTATTTTTCATGTGTCTGACAGATTGCTTGATAGAGAAAGATGCCTCGTGAGAGATCTGAGAAAATAGTTTAGAATGCAATGAGTCAAGAAAGCTTGCATTCAAGGCCTTCAGAATCAGGGCAATTCAGACCTAATCAATTGATTAATAATAGGCATTAATTGGTGCGCTGACCTTGATTTGACAGTTATATGAGTTTGCCTTTCACACACCTGTGGTAAAGAACCAAAGATTTCTTACTTCATTGAAGAAAACTTTTAAGAATTCTTAAAAAAGATCAGTTGGTGTATATTGAGAGTCATCAACATCAAGTAAAAGTAATGAAACAGGTGGACTCAAGTAATGTATAGGGGCTCCATAATTTTTGAGGTAAAAAATATTGCATATCATATCTTAGATATTATAAAGAAAAATGTGAATGAAGGCATGTTGAAATGAAAAATCACTGAGAAACAAAAGATAATACATAAACAAAGTAGAAAAACCCTACCAGTAAAGAGTGAGGAGACAAATAAAATTTTGTTTGATTTGTAACCCCTCAAGAATGAAATTTCAGAAGACTGCAGATCAATAGCATTTCCTGAGAAGTTCTGTATTCCTGTATAGACTCTGAGTTTGTATTTAAATATAAGCTTTCATTTTAGTGTTCTGAATATTCTTTTCTTATGTTATAGCTGTCAGACATAAGCTTAACTGAATATTATCATATAGAATTCAATAAATCAATATCTAAATGATACAGAGATTGCTTGCTAGGTAAACTCAATACCACTCTGTTGTATTTAACATCTTAGAGTCCCTGCTTATTTGCACAAAACTGCTTAGACATTTTTCATAGGAGTAAAGGGTACCTTCATTCCAAATTCAGGTTGTCTAACTACATAGACTTTGACCAATAAATGTCAGTCATGGCTTTCATCTTTTTTGGAAATGCAGAATAATGCAAAGATGAGGCTCACTCAAGTAAAAGTTCAATGTCATTCCAGGAGAGACAGACACAGAGAGAGAGAGAGAGAGAGAGAGAGAGAGAGAGAGAGAGAGAGAGAGAGAGAGAGAGAGAGAGAGAGTCTGTGTGTATTTCTATGTGTGTGCCTGTGTGGGTTACTATATATATGAGAGTAAGTTGAAACAATCAAATAGTTCACTAGACAAGACCTATATTTTTAACCTCATCACTGAAGTGTTACAGGCAGGGAAATTTTAAATATGAGGCTAGGCTGAGATGCATAACAAGACTGACTCTAAAACAAAAACTCTATATCAAAAATACAATGAAGGTCTTAAAACCCTTAATGTGAGTTGAAAATATCAGCCTACTTCAATCCATTAATTGTAAGTTTTGACCATGAAGAACACAGGACATATGTCTAAACAGTGGGATTCACATGTACATATGTCTAAACAGTGGGATTCACATGTTATTCTATGAGGAATTCAGTTCCATCCTTTGCAGTGCAAATTTTTTAAAAATGTGAATGCTCAGGGAAGTTTATTTGTAAAGTATTTTTTATTTTGACTGTAAGGTTCTGATTAACATAATTTTTGACAGAATTATGTGGGATACAATCCATCATAAAGACTACAAACATTGTCTACAAATGTCATTATGATTATAGTAATAAATTCACCACTATGTTCCTCTTAAGAGTGTAACTATAAAATCCCAACACTAACAGATCTTGGTTCTATGAAGTAGGGAAGACAATATACAAATAAATATACCCTGATTGTTTGTCTAACAATCAATAGAAGAAGTGGGTTTCTATAACAGTATTTTATTTATGAAACCAGCATAATAATATTAAATTGTCACCCTTTCTTCCATGGAATAATTCCCCAATTTTACACATAGCTCACTGTTTGGAGGAGTGATAAATTTTGAAAGCAACTATCCCACTCACCAGGAGATAAGCTTCCAGGAGCTGCCATACTCTTCTATGTTAATTTGGTGTTGTATTTTTACTGCATATATTTATGTATGTTTCAGAGAGGTGCTTCCTTTTTACAAGACTGGGCAGTTCTACAAGTCATAAGAAGAACTGGTAAAAAATCGTCTGACACATCTTTTCATTTTTACTAATTTCTTTCCTTTTTCACTTACAATACTCTATTTTTGAGACAGATGGTACTATGTAGCCCAGGCTGACTTGGAACGCTCTATGTAAACCAGACTTTCCTTGAACTCACAGAGATTTGCCTTCCTCTGCCTCTAGAGTACTGGAATTAAAGGTATGTGCCCTTGTCTGGGGGCATGGTGTGTGTTTTTTAATACAAAGAATATTATGTTTGCAGGAAATGGAAGAATTTGTTCAGAGTTCAGGGGAACACGGTGTTGTGGTGTTTTCTCTGGGATCAATGATCAAAAACCTGACAGAAGACAAAGCCAACCTCATTGCCTCGGCCCTTGCCCAGATTCCTCAGAAGGTAGGTATATCCTCTGGATCCTGCGGAGCAGAGAATCTCAGGGGCTATTGGATAGCATAGTTGACAGGTTCCTTTGAAGCTGGAAGCTGGAACTAGCTACTTATGAGCACAGCTGACACCAGCTTTCAGTAAATATTGATTGACCATATAACTAGTGTTTGTAGATACATGTGATTCTTTGCCTACTGACTCTGGGCACGACTATGGTAATAAATACTTTTGTATTCTTTCCCCATATCCATTCCTTCTCTATTTCTCTCAAAATAAGAGCAGGCCTCACAGGGACAAAAACTGAAAATAGTATAGTAAGTTAAAATAAGACTAGGCACAAACCCTCAAAAGGAAGATTCCAGACCACTTAAAACCCTGAATGCTAGCAAAAATTCCAGTTCACAATTTAGCAAAGTGGTTTACAAAACTGGAAAGTTTACATACAGATCAAAGAGAAATTTGCAAGTAGACACCTGAAGTCATGGATTCTTTCCAAATTAAGAGTTCATGCTTTCAAGTATATACTTGTAATAGTCAAAGAATATTAATTTTCCAGTTTATATTTAAGAAATTTAATAGAATCCCATTGCCTTACATTTATGTGCTAGACAAACTACGAAATTTGTATGAAACATGCTAACTATGCTTGTACAAATATGTTTATGCCTACAGTTGCCTACAATTTTCTAGCTCTTAGTTATATAAAAATTCATCTTTCATTGTGTAGAAAATATTATGTGACAAAATGTGAAATTTTTAACCAAATATGTGGTCTATAAACAAAGAAATACATACAGAGAGACAGAGACAGAGAGGGGGAGGGAGAGAGTGAGGCAGAGAGAGAGAGAGAGAGAGAGAGAGAGAGAGAGAGAAGAGAGAGGGACAGAGAGAGAGAGAGAGAGAGAGAGAGAGAGACAGAGAGACAGAGAGAGAGAGAGAGAGAGAACACAACATCAGAGAGGAATGAAGAGGAAAGGGCAGAAGTAGAAACAAAAATGATAAGGTGAGAGGCAGAGCCAAGTTTGAAAAGGAATCTGAAAAGGGAGAAAAAAGTCATCAAATAAATAATAAAAAAATTCATCACCAACAATAGCCTAGTTATATTTTGGGGGAAAATCACATTTTGAACATGATGATTAGGACCAATAGGCTATGTGAAATAAATGTGTATGGAGTTCATATTCATACTGATTTTGAATCCAGCTTTTCAGTATGAAAGATTATGTTGATAGCAATATGCTTATTAGACAGTTAGTAGAAACAGGTAGGAATGAACAGGTCTACTACATCTCTTAATTTTTAGAGACGGCCACAAATATTCTCCCTTCTCAAGGAACACCTAAAGAATAGCACTGCTGCTGTACCTCATCCTCATTATGTGTTATTAGCCTACAAAATCACAGCATTGTCTTTAACAGGTTTTGTGGAGATATTCAGGCAAGAAACCAGCCACATTAGGATCCAATACTCGGCTTTTTAACTGGATTCCCCAGAATGATCTACTTGGTAAGACCTTGGGTAAAAAGCTACGCAATTAGAAAAACAACATCAAATCAATTGATTATATTGAATAATTTATATTTTCCAGTTGCACTTCCACTTTAGAGACAAATATAATTAAATAATTAGCCATTAAGTTAAGGGTTGTTTATCTTGTTTTGCCTTGGTTCACAAAAGAGCATCTCCAGTTAAAACTTTCATCCGTCTTCAGGACTCCATCAGAATTCAATCCCCCTGTGATACCTTCTTAGTCATTGAAAAAGTTGTTAATTCAGGGGAAGAAATGTCTCATGTGCCCAACCTTTGTAGGTTGTGATTTCTTCTTCAGTGACTCACACTATGTACTTTTTTCAGGAATTTTTCTTCTCTTAGTTTTTTTATATATATGTTTTTATTTTTTTATTTTTTTATTTTTTGGTTTTTACGAGACAGGGTTTCTCTGTATTGTTTCAGAGGCTATCGGTCCAGCCTGGCCTCGAACGCACAGAGATCCGCCTGCCTCTGCCTCCCAAGTGCTGGGATTAAAGGCGTGCGCCACCACCGCCCGGCATATATATATGTTTTTATTTAAATTAGATACATGCATGCTTCACATGTCAATCCCAGCTCCCTCTCCCACACTTCCTCCCTTGTCCCTCCATCAGCTCCCCCCCCAACATCCCACACAATCCCCACACCATTCCTCAGGGAAGATGAGGCCCTCCATGGGGGGGGGGGTTCTCCAGAGTCTGTCATTGCATTCAGGGCAGGACCTAGGCCCTTACCATGTGTCCAGGCTGAGAGAGTATCCCTCCATGTGGAATGGGCTCCCAAAGTTCATTCGTACGCGCCATGGTAAACACTGAAATACTACCCAAGGCTCCAGACATTGCTGAGGCCTCCTCACTGACACTACATTCAGGGAGCCTGGATGAGTCCCCTGCTGGCCTCTCAGCCATCATTATGCATTTCAGGAGCTCCCCCTTATCCGGTCAGCTGTCTTTGTGGGTTTCACTGGCACGTTCTTGACCCCTTTTCTCATCACTCCTCCATCTCTGTCACTGGGTGTCAGGAGTTAGGTTCAGTGTTTAGGTGTGGGTATCTGCCTATGTACTTTAAAAAAAAATTTAACTTAAAAACAATCTTATTTTGCTTACGAATCCCAGTTCCCTCTCTCTTGTCTCATTTCCCCCACCATTTCCCCTTCCTACCCACTTCCATTCACTTCTCAGACAGGGTGAGGCCTCCCATAGGGAATCATCTATGTCTGACACATCATTTTGGGCAGAACCGAGGACCTCCCCCCTGCATCTAGGCTGTCAGGTATCCCTCCATATTGATGACTACCTTAAATGACATCATAGAGCCTTCATCCAGTAACTGATGGAAACTGAAGAAGAGATTCACACACAGCTGAGCACTGAGCCAAACTCCTGGGAATCCAGTTTTAGGGAAAAAGAAGGGATGAGCAAATGGCTCATGACCATGCTGAAGAAACCCACAGAAACAGAAGACCTGAGCAAATGGGAGCTCATGGACTCCGGACTGACAGCTCGGGAACCTGCAAAAGACCGAACTGGGCCCCCTGAATGTGGGTGTCAGTTGGAGACTTGGGCAGTCTATGTGGCTGCTGTCAATGGAACCAGTATTTATCTGTAGTGCATGACCTGACTTTTTGGAACCCATTCCCAAAGGAGGGACACTATGCATTTTTGTGTCAATATGATAACTTGAAACTCATGCCAATTTGCCAATTTGTCACTCTGTCCCTCAAACAGGGCATCCTAAAACCAAAGCTTTCATCACCCATGGTGGAATGAATGGGATCTACGAAGCCATTTATCACGGAATCCCTATGGTGGGAATCCCCTTATTCGCTGATCAGCCTGACAACATTGCTCACATGAAAGCTAAGGGAGCAGCCCTGAATGTAAATTTGAACACAATGACAAGTGAAGATTTACTCAATGCCTTGAGAGCTGTCATTAATGAACCTTAGTAAGTACTACAATTTGGAAAGCCATGCCAGCCACTGGTTAGCATTGTCCTCATTCTGGAAATTTTCCAGTGCTTTATATTTGTCTTATTATCAAACACGATGACATAGAACAAAGGCAAAAAATTAAGAATGTTTATCCTATTTCCTATCTTCTGGTGTTAGTTTCAGAAACAGAAAAATATTTGTTTTGAAGATTATACAAATGAATAGATTTGCAAAATATTTTATGAATGCACCAATTCACTTGTAGTTTTCACGCGAGAAATAAATATATAAACAATTGTTAGATACAAGATAGAATGAATGTGCTGAATATTGCTTTTCAAAATAACAATTTGTAGTGTTACTAAACATAATAATTAAGTAAAAATTATTTCTGAGTAATATCACCTTAAGAACAATTGCTTACATAACTTGTCCTTTAAACTTCTGACAACAAAACCAAGAAAGTTCCAGAATTATGGAGCATTCCTCAACTTATATATGACTGATGGTTTGCTTAATGTACAGGATGTTTCATAAACAATCAATAACACAGTTTATATGTGTTTATCTTCTAGTTATAAAGAAAATGCCATGAGGCTATCAAGAATTCACCATGAACAGCCTGTGAAGCCCCTAGACAAAGCTGTCTTCTGGATTGAGTTTGTCATGCGCAACAAAGGGGCCAAGCACCTTCGTGTGGCAGCACATGACCTCACTTGGTTCCAGTACCACTCTCTGGATGTGATTGGGTTCCTCCTGCTCTGTGTTGTAACTCTGGCATTCATCATCATTAAATGTTGTTTGTTTACTTGTAGAAAATTTTGTATGTCAGAAAAGAAGACAAGGGTGAACAGAAAAAAAAAGAACTAGGTGTTTCTAGGTTTGAGAATGTCACCAATGAGAGTTACATTAAATCTAGCCATAAGGAGCTTCCATTCTTCTGCTTTTATACTACTTTGAGAAAACTTTTCTTCTATATCTGAAAAAATACCATGTTAAATATTTAGGCTTATTTCATCTGTTCATTCATTTCTGTTGTTGTCTTGTAGGCAGTCTTATTATTCTCCAATATTGTCTTCAAATATGGAAACTGTTAATTCTAAACATGCTCTATAGAAATGGAGTGATGACTAACAGTTTGTAATTGATGTATATGAGGATCAAACATATCATATTGTCCAAAAATAACTACAATAATTTAGTGTGCTATGAGAAGACACATTTCTTTTTCATTTTTTGGGGGGGTAGGCTTTGTGTCTTGTTTAATTTAGAATCATTCTTGTTTTACATGTTAATCCCAGTTCCCTCTCCCTTCCCTCCTTCCCTAGCCCCCCACAGATGCCCTATCCCATCCCCTTTCTGCTCCCTAGGGAGGGAGAGGCCTCCATGGGAGATCTTCAAAGTCTGCCACATCATTTGGAGCAGGGCCTAGACCCTCCCCTATGTATTTAGGCAGAGAGAGTATCCCTCTATTTGAAAGGGGCTCCTAAAGCCCAATCCTACAATAGGGATAAATACTGGTCCACTACCAGAGGCCCCATAGATTCCCCAGGTCTCCTAACTGACACCCATGTTTAGAGCGTCTGGGTGGCTACTATGCTGGTATCCCAGATATCAGTCTGGAGTCCATGAGTTCCCTCTTGTTCTGGTCAGCTGTGTCTGTTGGTTTCTCTAGCTTGGCCTTGACCCCTTTGCTCATCACTCCTCCCTCTCTGTAACTAGATTCCAGGAGTTTGGCTCAGTGCTTAGGTGTGAGTCTCTGCTTCTGCTTTAGGATGGCACATACGGTAGTCATCAATCTCATTATAGGGGAAGGGTATTCAAGGTAGTGTCTCCACTATTGCTTAGATTCGAAGTTTGGGTCACCCTTGTAGATCTCTAGACATTTCCTTAGTGCCAGATTTCTCTTTAAATCTATAATGGCTCCCTCTTGTATGGTATCTCTTTTCTTGCTCTCCTCTGTTCTTCCCCCTACTCAGGCTTCCTGCTCCCTCATATCCTCCTCTCCCCTCCTCTGCTCCCTTTCTCTTTCTCTTAACTCCCTCTCCCCTCCCCCCCCCCATGCTCCCGATTTGCTCAGGATATCTTGTCCCTTTCCCCTTCTCTGGTGGAATCATGTATGTCACTCTTAGGGTCCTCTTTGTAGGGGAGAATTTAGCTATGCCCATTTGGAGCTTGGACAGAGGGATATGAAATAGGCAAGAGATACATAGCAGAAAGAGAAAGTAAGATTTTTTTTTTCTCCTGGATGCTGGCCTTGCTTCAGAGAGCCCAGTACTTCCCAGCATCCCCTGTAAGTGATTTCTATATTTAATAAATTATCTTAGACCCCCCCTTTTTTCCCAGTGCACTGGGATTGAATCCCATTTCTGAAACCAGCTGATATGGAAACAGGGTGTGTAACAGAGTGAAAGAATTATTACTTTTCTCCTTGAGAGGCATACATTATAGGTTCTTTAGGATGAAGTCCTAGGACACAAAGTAGTTTTCAGCTTCACAGAGATCCATGCACTCCCTCAGACAAAGAAGTGTTCAGGCTGCTCTCTGTTACTCTGTGTGTTCGTTTAGTGTCATGGAAGCATGAAGGCTTGATAGAATGACTGGTCTTAGACATTAATGTTGTGTACCCTGTATGTCTTCCAAATTTTGCAGTATCCTGGCAACTGCAACTGTATTGATCCTTGCAATTCCCATTATATTCTGTTTGTGTTAAAAGCATAAAAAGTCTGATTGTTCTCAATAAAATTGCCCCAACCTCAGTTGTGCTGTGGCTCTTCCAAACTGCCTCATTTAATTCCTTGAGACAATAGCAGGTGACCTTGGCCCAGCTAAGTAAGTGCATATGTTTACAGTCTGCAAATCAACTGCTTGCTGACTGTCAACTTGCATTCTGTGGGCTTTCTCTGCACTCCTTTTTGTGGTGAAGAACCTTTTGTGGGTGGTGAAATTACATACTCTTGCTCTCTCTGCTTATTTTTCAGATTCATATACCTTCCAGGTGTGCTGGCTAATTTTATGTATAATTGATACAACCTGGAGAGGACACATGGGGGAGCCTTAACTAAGAAAATGCCTCATAAAATTGACATGTAGATGAGCCTGTAGGGCATTTTTTAAATTGCTAATTAATGGGGGAGGGTACAATTCATTGTAGGTGGAGCTATCCCTGGGCTAGTGTCCAGGGTTGTATAGAAAGCAGACTGAGCAAGCCACGAGGAGCTACACCTTTGATCCCAGCACTCAAGAAACAGAGGTAGACCGATTAATATGAGTTCAGGGCCAGCCTGTTCTACAGAGTAAGCTCCATGACAGCCATGTTTACATAGAGAAACCCTGTCTCACAAAACCAGAAAGAAGAAGAGAAATAGAAAAAGGAGATAGAAAAATAAGGAACATTTACCAATTCCTTTCTACATTTTTAAGGCTTGTCATTTCATATCCTGATACCAAAACAAGACAAAGATCCTTGTCTGAATTGTGAACTTTGAACAGCTGGTAGAGTAATTAGGCTTACTGATTAACTAAAGTTTTATAGTCCCAAAAGACAGAAAACTCATTTTCATTTGTTGTTTAATTTTTGAGGTTTTACAAGTTCACACTGTAACTTAGAGAGAGTTATGCTTTTCCATATTTTCTTTTAGTGTTGCTATGCCTTGTATTCTAGTTGCGGCCTGTATACTAAGTCCTCCATAACTGAGAGTGAATAAAACACTTTCTAATTTTCATGTAAGTTCTCTTTATTATCTACAAATATACTCTTATTGTCTAATTCACACTGAATAATGACAAGTATATCATTTTCTTTCTCTATTAAGAGAATGCCAAGTGATTATAAGCCATTCTCCTTATTTAGCCTACGAAGCCACTAGACAGAGCTGCCTTCTGGTTTGAGTTTGTAATGCAACATAAAGGGGCCAACCACCTGGGGCCACTTGCACACAGCATCAGCTGCTACCTGTAGAGTTCCCTAGATTCATACTCACTTCTGTGGCACTCATTGGCTTCCTTGCCTTTTGACCCAGGTTAAATTCACCGCACTCACATGGCAGTTAACAACTGTTTGTAACTCCATGATCTGACACCCTCACACAAACATATGCAGAGGCAAAACACTAATGCAAATAAATTTTTTAAAAAACTGTTAAAATACTGATTGTTTATCAAAAATTTGAGAAGAAAGAAAAAGGAAGGAAGGAAGGAAGGGTGGAGCTAATGGTAATGAAATATTCCTTACATTCTAAGAGACTGAAACTTTTGCTGGACCTCACAACCGAGTTAATAATACACCTTGAGGTCACATAAAATTTAAAATTTTGAGCTAGCCCTGTGCTCAAACTGTTTGTTCAACCAGACATTTAAAGGACAATATAGCAATCAACCTTGTTTGCCCCTGAATTTCCCACATAATCAACATTTACGATCCTAGCTAAGAAATAACCATACTCTTAAATTACATATTCTTCCATTTACCAACCCATGCCAGAGTCCAGCTCCAGTGGGGTTCTTGTGCCACAAGAAGGATATGTGAAGTCGGTGAAAAATGAGGAGTCTGACCACCAGATGTCTTTCAAATTGATGGTCTTGACTTGCTCAGATCATCTTTATTTATACAAATTCTAATGCATTCAAGCATGAGCTGTTTCAAATCATTTCTCTTTAACCATTTTCCAAGAATAATTAACATTTTAGCTTCTTTTCATCTTTCCCTCTCCCTTGATGTCATTGTCCTTTATCTAATATCATTATATAGCAAGTTGAATGTTTATATCTAGATAGGTACATCTTATTCATACCATGCCCTAGCTGGCAGCAAACATGCGGTTACAAAGTAAGAGATTTGAGTCCTGTGGTTAATTCTTGACAATATGAAATTAGCTAAATATACTGAGATGACTAGAGTATCATTTTCAGGTATGAGTAATCTGTATGTCACCTTTGTTATCACCTTTAGTACGTGGATTGCAGTTATATTCTTATTCTTTATAAGTTCTCAAAATAAAGATTAATGCCTAACTCTTTAACTATTAGGATTAAGTTTCTTTATTCTTCCTAACAATTTCCACATGCAATTTTCTTTGAGAGGAACTAAGAGTTTTAGATTCCTTTATTAATGCTTTGATATTAGAAAAGTATCTGAATGTTCATGTCTTGGTGCCAGTGAAATGTCTGACTTTTCATGTCCTTTTATAAATTTTATTACATTTTAAAAATTAGAAACAAGCTTGCTTCACATGTCAATCACAACTCCACATCCCTACCCTCCTCCCACACATCCCTAGTCCCCCCAGCTCCCCACCCTATCTCTACTCTTTTCCCCATAAGAGGTATCTTATATTTTTTCCTTCTGTGTCCCTATAAAGTTTTTAATGTCATCTTTTAAGAAACCATTTTTTCTGATTCTTAAGTTCTTTTGAATATATTTATCTATTTTCAATATTGAATAAACAGTAATCATTAACCTTAGTGAGTTCCTCCTGCAAAGGCAGTCAGGGATGACTGGAGAAACTTGTTTCTGTAACACATCAGAGAAATTTGGCTTTTATGTAAATGCTTTTGTTCCTAGAAAACCCAGACTAACAAGGCAAAACTAAGAGTTTTCATAGCATTAAGCATAGCAAAAGTTAGAGAAGCCTGAAGTTCATGAGCTCCCTAAGATTAGTGCAGGAGTTTGCAGTATTGTATCCATAGGTCCTCAACTAATGGATGGGATTCTCCAAAGGCTCTTGCCTTCTAAGAAGTTCCATTTGCAACACACCAGTGCACAGCTGCCCAGGGTGACAACATGGCTTCTACCAAACCCGGACAATGCATGTCTATCATTTTCTGGAAACAGCAGTTGAAAGCAACTTCCTAAAACCCACCATAAAGATTGAAAGAAACTAAGTGTGGATGTTGGTTGATAAATAATTATGTTTGTAGTGCACTTTGCTTTCTCAGTAAGTTGAGATTAATTGAAGACAGTGATTTAACTCCTTGTAAAACTCCGAAAACGTTTCTGTAACGTATTCCATTCTTCCCCCATGTGGTGTTTTCTATACTGTTTAATGAAGACACACAGACATAGAGGCAGAAACAGCCTTCTGGTAGGCACAGATTAAGACTCATGCAACAAAGGACTGGAGATGGGGAGCATG